TGAGAAATTGTTCCTTCGCAACTCGTATTCTCGAACTTTCAAGCCCCTTTCTAAGATTTCTTCTGCCTTGGCACCTCTAATGGTACAGTGAACCGCAATTTTTTCATTACGACGAATGCCGAAGGACCTGACAGTCAATCTGGCCTTTGAAAACACAGGCTGTTGACCGGTAAGCTGTTCCAGTACCTGGAGAGAATGAACTCATGTAAATATGCAAAAGCAGCCAGCCCAAGTTCAGTTTTCCAGAGAAATCGGCTGGTAAAGCTCTTACCTTGGCTGCTCTGGTAAGCCTGTCTCCACTTTCGCCTACACAGATGTTTAGGCAAAGTTTTCGAATGTGCAAGTCCCGCATTACATTTTTGGACTTATCCTTCACTTCCTTCCTCTCCTTTTTGGTCGTTTTAGCAACGGGCTGCAATAAAAGCAACATTTTAGGTTAGATTTTTTGCAACAAATGTAATCTAGTTGCACCTTAAGAAACGTAGTTTCTCATCTAAATTGTTAAAAAAACATGTGATTTTATGTGGTTTAGGAAATCAACCACAAAATAGCTAGTTTTAGTTTCTACACTACACGTAAAAACATGTAATTTGACAAAATACCCTAAGTCCCAGCGAAAAAATATGAAATAGAATAAATAGGTCGAAATACTTTCTCGTTTTCCATGATAAATTTCACAATTTTCCCAGTTAATTTAATAAGATGAATTAAGAATAGAAATCAAAAATAAAAATTAGTACCTACCGCCATTGTCACTTTTATCGAAGAAATGCTAATCGGTTTTGTCAAAAACGTCAACAAATGAAAACCTACAGAGTTGCCAGCGGAGTTAAGCGTTGTCAGCTTGTGCCGGGAGGCGAATTCGATTAGCATCCGCACACCTCAGCCACGCACGCACCAAATGAGCACTTGCATATCTGGAGATATTTCCTACATGCATAAAACTTCTACCTATTCAAATTAATAATTAGTTATCATTTCATTAAATTACCGATTTTATTGGCCTTCTGGTGTATAATTTTGGGACGGGATTGGTTGGTTGCTATGGCGAGCTTAGAAATTTGATTGATCGAATTTATTTTATTGCGCTACGATAGAGTAACTTAAACAGTTTTCGTATTTAATTGTCACGCTAAAATGTCTTCAAGAAGAAGTACTGAAATTATTGAAGATCTTGAACCGCAAGTTACTTCTTCTGATCCGAATGAGCGCAAGCTGGCCAGGCGGTTAAGAATTGAGCGCAGATGGGAAGCGTTGAAGAAAAGGTTTGATTTTTTAATTTATTACAGGAATAGAATGTTAAAATTATCAGTTTTTCAGTTCCAAAATATACACGGTGACTCAAGTACGAAAAAATGAGTTCAAAAGTTGCTTGCAAAATTATTAACGAATGCATTTCACCGTAGATTTCCGGTTGGATTCGGGTCAATTAAAAATTCAAATGTTAACTTATATGGCAAAATTTGAACACCATTTTACGCACTCACTCAAAAGTTCCACAACAGTTAAGAAGACTGGAAATTTTTGTTTTTCCAGTTAAAATCCGTCTTGTTTATTCGGAATTAGTCTTCGTTGTATATGTGCTTACAATATTATTGTTGTAGCAAGCAAAGTGTTCAACAGGTAGACAAACTGGTGCAAGGCGACGAGGAATTTAACGAGATACAAATTCAGTTAAAGAAAAGCGCGGAATTATTGGAAAAGTTTCTAATAGAAGGTAAATTAAAACATGTTGTCTTTTACAGGCTTCCTTGACCCATCCAAGTTATATTTTATTTCACAAATCCGTGCAATGCATTTTTTTTCAAATTAACAAATAAGCAAAATTTCACTGGCTCCTTACAGGTGAAGAATATATTACGAACGTTCGAGTGGCGAATGATTCCAGAGAAGTGGACAGAAGGGAATCAGAAGGATTAAACAAAGAAAAGATTTACGAACAATTAGATGAAGAAGCGCAGGCCGCTAGTGAGCTTTTCAACAACATTGCCAACAAATGGGCGGTAATGATCATTAAATAAAATTATACTGAGAACCAGTGAATAAAATGAGTAGAAACTCGCCTGTTTGCCAAGATATTTTAGTGCAAAAACCCCCAATAAAAGAAAATTTGCAGTCAATTCAACGCCAAAACGATCCTCTGCAAATAAACGAAGCTATAATGGAGCAAAAGGAGAAATGTGACTTGTTGATCAGTCAAAAGGATGGAATAATTGCGATGTTGAATGAGGAGCTGCGAAATGCTGACAAACAATTCGCTAAAGATCAAAGAAAACAAATGGAAGATGTCAACACTCTATCACAAAGAATTGAAAAGCAGGTAAGTTCGGTCCTTTAACCAAGGGTTTAACCTTGGAATACTAATACTTGAGACTAGTTGAACCATACATGCTCAACTGATGCAGATATCGTTTATGAGACGCGCATATCGAGAAGAGCTCAATATACTGGAAAATGTAATACAGCATGAGAGAGAAGCGCTAATTGAAGTGACCGATAAGAAATGGGAAGAGTTATTTAGAAAGCGTGAAAATCAAGAAATATCCAATAGCAAGGCAAAGTTTGAGCAAGTTGAGGAGTTTGATCAAAGAATGGAGTCACTGCGAATGGACTTTCAGGTTTGATAGATCAGTGAAACTTGGAGTCTTCTTCAAAAAAAGTGTAGGAGCATTTTAGGGAGACCAAGATTAAGTTGGAGAACGACATAGAAGAGCTTCAACGGGAATTGGAGAAAATCAAAGCTCTGGCATTGCTTAACAGTGAGAAGCTGGATTATAACTATCAGATCCTTAAAAAGAGGGAGGATGAAAACATTATAATAAAATCCCAGCAGAAGAGGAGAATGAACAAATTGCAAGACGTGATCAACGGCCTGAGAACGAAAATTTCTGAGTACGAATCCCGCATGTCAAATAAAATTAAAAAACTGTCCGAGAGTATTAAGAAGTTGCATAAATCCATCATTGATGTAAGCACTTAATGTTTGATTATTAGAGTTGAACAAACCAGGAATTTTCCACAGGTGGAAGCCAAAGCTGACCACTTTGCCCACGTAAACGACGAGAAGTTCCACATGCTATGGGAAATGAATAAAAACCGCACTTTGGCAGTTTTGAAGAAAATTCTGGACACCGATAAAATTCTCTACGAGCAGCAGATGGGACTCGAATGGGACCCACCACAGAACTTTATCGTCGACAAAAAGTCATTGCCGAGTTACCGGTTGGCTGTTAATAATGTGCCTGCAGAGTTTCTACACGGTAAAAATGCATTATCGTAGAGCAATTGATCTTGTTTCTGATTTTTTGCTACTCTCAAGTACCTCTTATCACAAAGAAAGTTGTTCCCATGTAAATCGCAATTTAATAGCGTTACAAACTTTGCGTCTGCTTCATATACATTTTTGTCGACACAGATGGCAAGTCGGTAGAGTCGAGATCAGTAGGACAAATACTGTCCGTCCAAACCATCTTCCAAGATAGCGAATCTTTAGATTCCAATCTGCAGGATAACAGCAACTACATGAAGGTATTAAAGCACATATTGACTCGAATCTCGGACAAATCGGGATTTTTGGCTGAAAAACGTCTCAAAGAGCTCCTGAAGGGATATACGGACGATCAGAAGAATATCGTCCGATTGGATAATGTTTTTGCTGTGAGTGGTTTCATTTACTCACGTTTTGGTCTTAATGCAACTTTCAGCGCTGAAAAATTAAATAGCACTCTATCAATTGTAGTTTTCCAGCCGCAGGAATTAAATATTTTTATTTATTTATTATTTATTTTTTCTTAGGCGATCGGCATTCAAGGCATTGACTATATCAATGTTTTGTTTAAACATTTCCAACCATACACGTATTGTCCAGTTTGCCAGGGATCAATGGGAACTTCGGCTTCCCGTATTGATAGTAGAACTTCAGCCTCATCTCAAATTTCATCGATATTTTCTAGTAAGTTTTCCAGACAAATGAGTATATTTTGAATAAATACATTGAAAGGGAAATCACATGCCAACGGAACAACTTAAGTGGATTATCGCCATTCCTTTCAAAAGAATTGAATAGTCTAAAAATGGGGAAAATCGAATGAATTGCATTCTGCTCATTTTATTCAGTACAGTTTGCCTCTTTAGGATTTGGAGATGCCTCAAATTTCTACATACCAGAACTAGACGATGTTATTGATGCCATTCGCCAGCCTGATGTGGTGCTTGGTTCCATTATTTCCCAATTGGTTAACACTGAGGATCTGGCAGAAGAACCAGACTCCGTGTCTGAGGCGTCCGAACATGAAGCCATTGAAGATATTTGCGGAGTGGCAGGTTTGGAGCAATAGTGAGTCGCTTAAAATGAGAATGAAGGCGAAACTGCAAAAATGTTAGCTTTGCAGATAAAACTAAGGATAAGGTGAAGGCAGTGTCATCCAAAAAGAAAATATCCAGCATGCGATTAACTGATTTATCCGCCTGCCAGTTTCGGCACCCTTTGGTGATTAGTCCTGTTTATGTGCTAAGGGCTTTAAAGGAGTTTGTTGCGTCTTATTATGTGCGCACGTCCGGGTAAAGTTTGGATACTGAATAGACCCCCAATGGGTCACTAATTTTATGCTTATTGGCCCAGAGTTCCTACCACTGGAGCCAGATTAGAGAAGAAACGATTAACCATATCGAGATATTTAACAGAACGTGACATCAAAACCTACTGGGAAAAGTTCAGGCAGAATTTCGGCGAAGACCGTGTGAGGGTTTGGAACGCTCTTTTGGAAGGCCTGAAGAAATATCACGAAATTCTGAAAGGTTTTTGCTGGATTATCCATTCAATTTCAATGAGGGGCCAAGAAGGTGTAGGTTTTTAGATCGCCGGACGATTTGTGATGACGTAATGCGACTTCGCAAAGAGAATGCTGAGCTTAAGCGACTTCTGGCCAACTATTTGGACCACCACGAATTTTTGACTCCGACGTGCGCCAACGACAGGAACCCGTAATAAAACCCACTGGGCCAATTAAATTTTTTATTTACATTTTTATTACTTCCATTTATACTCAACACGTAATTAAAAATATTTTATGTGTCCTTGATAAAGCATTATTCGAGTACTTTCCTTGCTTGGATCTTTACCACATTTATATAAAAACTGTAAAACTTGTAAAGAGATAATGAACATTGAACATCAAGTATACCACGTCAATTAGGTAAATACATTGGCACCTAATATAGGTTTAATAAATACAACATAGACTTGTTATAAAATGAAGCAGATTTTCAGATTTCGAAAAATTCCTTATTCTAGCTAAGCTGTGATTAAGACGAAAATAGTGTTTGATGATTGATGAAAAGCCGCAAACATTTAACATTCAATCTATTGGGTGTCGGATAGTAAATTAAAAGTAATTTTTGTCTTTCAACCTTTTAATAAATACCGGCTCCATGTCTTCGTCTTCCTAAAAAAATAACTGTCTCTGTTAATCGATTCAAACGCTCATGGAAACCTACCGGAAAATACGAAGGAGCTTCGATCTCAACAGTATTCTGAGTAACTCCCTCCTTGCAAGTTAACCAAAACGTTTCCATCAGTCCTTTACCCTAAAACATTCGAAAGTTTAGTTTTTAATTTTGTCTAACCTGATAGGGAAAATTTACTTTCACTTCCACTAGTCCGCGTTCTTCGATCTTGTACCCGCCAATTGCATCCAGGGCTTTTTTCATTTCGAGGCTTATATGGATCTTTGATGCTGAAATGTAACTTTCATAAATTTGAATGATTTTCCACCAAATTTTCTCAAAGTTCTCTAGTTACTTAAAAAAATATATGTTACCTACACCCGTCGATTCCATTCTCGAAGCTGTATTTACGGTGTCTCCAAATAGGCAATATCTTGGCATTTTAGACCCAACTATCCCAGCCACTACTGGGCCTGTATGGGCTCCAGATCTAATAAATTATTCAGGTTAAGAGCGAAAATTTCCCATAAAATCATTTGTCGATTTCAAACCAAAAAAATGTCTTTAATTTGAATGCACTACTAAAACCATGCTTTCATCATAAATAACGCACTAAATTCCAGCAGCTAATTATTAAATGTACAACATTATTTGCTAACATTGCTAAAAAGATACTATTTTCTATAAATACGTACCTAATTTGAAGCTTTTCGGATTTTCTGTGCGGGATTTTAAAATGCCTGGAACCTGCAAGTAGATCCAAAGCCATACTGGCTATTTCCGATACGTGCTTATTGCCTGAAAATGAACAAAATAAGCTGCTGATGGATTAATTATCTGGAAAAAAATACCATTTTTTACAGGCAGCCCAGAAGCCACCATATAAGAATCGCCAATCGTTTCCACCTTGTACACATCATAACATTCAATACGAGAGTCAAACTGCTTGTAGATTTTATTTAAGAATGTTACCACCTGAAATTGGTTGGATTAGCAGGATTATCAACCGGAAGGAAGATTTGGGATTTTCACCTCGAGTGGTGTGCTGATGGCTGCAATTTCCGTAAACCCAACTATATCACTAAAATACACTGTGACCGACGCATAATATTCGGCAGGTACCTAGAAAAGCATTAAATTAATTATTTTCGTGCTTAATATCGTTAGTTAAATTAAACCTACTTGTCTGGTTTGCTTAAGTTGGGTCGCCACACTCGGAGGAAGCATTTGAAATAACAGCAGATCGCTTTTCTTTTTTTCCCTCTTCAATTCGTTGGCTTTTTTCGACAAGTTCGCAGCATATAACTGAAAATAGCATCGATCAAAAACATTACTTACTTAAGCAACATTTTTCAGTTGTAGAAAAAGCATTAGAATGCACTGTTCTTTTTTCTGGAAAGTGTTGAATGGTAAAAATTTCGGTAATTTTCTTATCCGATACAAGGGTTTTTATTTTTTTAAGCAAAAACTGTGCATTTATGCAGAAAAACTCAAAAGAGCTTTTTTGTTTACAACTAATAGTTGAATTGGAAAATAGTCCTAATTTAAAAAAAAACGTTATTGTACACATCTTTTCTGGAAATTATTGCGGTAATGTTCTCGCACAATACAACGGTTTTTATTATGTAAATCAAAAACTACGCATTTAAGCAACAAAACCCAAAAGAGCTTTCTTATTCCCAACTAAATGTGGAATTGATAAATAATTTTTATTTCCAGAAAAACCATTGGCGTGCTCCTGTTTTTCGCGGGAAAATATCAACTGCCAAATATTTATTTGCCGTAATTTTCTCAGATACGACAACAGTTTTCATTTTTTAAATAAAAAAAGTGTACAATTTAAGAGAAAATCAAAGGAAATTTTTCTTCCCAACCTGAATGTATTTGTTTTTTATTTGCAAAAAACCATTGGGGTGTAATAGTTAACCGGAAAGTATCAAATGCTAAATATTGCGGTAATTGTCTCGCACAGGATAACGGTTTTAAAAATAAAAAACTGCACGTTTCAAGGAAAAAACCCAAAAAGCATTTTCGTTCCCAATTTCATGTAGAATTTAATAATAAATTTATTTGCAGAAATACTCTTATCGCACACTATTTTTTTTCTGGAAAGAATCGGTTAAATATCGCGGAATTTTTTTCGAAGAAATCAACGGATTTCCTTTTTTAAATCAAAACCGGACCATTTAAGCAACAAACCCAAAAGACTTTTCTGTTCCTAATTTATGTTCCTTAATTCCTAATAAACGCAGAATTGCAAAACAGTTTTCATTTGCAGAAAAACCATTGGCGTGCTCTGGTTTTTTTATCTGGAAAGTATCAAATGTTAAATATTTAGGGCGGTTATTTTCTCTGAAACGACAAATGTTTTCATTTTTTACATGGAAAAATTTGAATTTTAAGAAAAAAAGTCAAAATAATGTTTTTCTTCCCAACTGAATGTGGAATTGGAAAATATTTTTGTTTGCAGCAAAGCCATTGGTTTTTTCAGAAAGTATCAAATGCTACTTATTACGGTAATTTTGCCGCACACTACAACGGTTTTACTTTTGCAATCAAAAGCTGTTCATTCCAGGAGAAAACCCAAATAATATAAAATTGAGAAATAATTTATATTTGCGCAAATGCCATTGACGTGCCCTGATTTTTTTCTGAAAATTACGAAATACGGTAGTTTTCAAGGAGAATACAATGGCGTTTATTTTGTAAATAAAAACTGAATATTTTACATACTTTTTATTAAGGGCGCCTTTAATCCCGAAAACTCTGATCCCGGAAATAATTGTCATTCACATTCAAGATGTTTTTGAGGAATTGGGTAAAGTAGTTTTGTGAAAGTAGTTCCTAAGAACCACCAGGTAAGACTTAGTTAATTCTTAAATCGAAAATGACTATTTAAGAGTCATAAAAAAGAGTGAGAGACTGCTATAAACGATATTTCTTATTTTCGACGGAAAACTATAAAATCTGCACTTTGGCATCTTGCGTATTGAAAAAATGCGCATTTTGTTACGCAGTTTCTTTAGACTTACCTGAATTGTTGCTACTGCATTATGAACCAGCCAAATAATCACAGGAGATACGGCTAAAACCACAATTAAAATTGTTATGCCCACTGCCTCTTGGTTGGCCGCATCTCGCAAATTTCCACTTACATATTCCCTATAAAATAACATTGCTGTTAATCGAGTTTCTCCATAATACTTTAAGCATTCAAAATTCGTGCAAACCCATAAACGATTATAACAGCAACGAGTTCAGGCTATTAATGCGGTCAAATGGTTAAAGCAATAAGGATCTTACCCAATAGTAACTCTAAGGGATCGTTGTAGTTTGCGTAACTCATCGGTGTATAAAGCAATTGAATCGAAATAATTAAGAGCCTCTGTATAGTTGGGTTCTCGTTGGATATTTCTTATTATAATATCATTTCTGGAAACAAACTTTGCTTTATTTATTGCCAGCGTATGGGGAAACGTAACAAGGAGTTGTATATGTTTTCTTTTAACTGTAGCATATAAAGAGGTAACAAGAGAAGTAATAAAATGTGACAATATTTAAAACAACCAATTTAGTACTCATTTTTACACCCCTGAAGTGAATCATCAGTGGTAAGCACAGTTTTCAACAAAATTTTTAGTTTTGCAGTCTACCAGAAAAATAGTTCTTGTGCGGTTTTGATGTGGCGGAAAACCGTCCTTTGTACCCCCAAAAAACCCAATCATCTTTGCACAATTAAACTAGCAATTAAACAGCAAAATATGTTCTATTCTAGAATGGCCTTACCGGAAACTGAAAATGTACTTACTGCTTCTTAATATTGCCATAATCAATCATCGTTTGAGACAAATTGTTATACTCCTGCTTCAATTTGGCCACGTAGTTCAACGAGGTGTTAAGTAGATCTTTGGCTATTGAATCGTGCTGAATATAGCTGATGTAGTTTTGCTTTTTCAATATACCTTTTCCGAAATAGTTGACGCCATAAACGCTCGCAATTCCCGTACTTTCAATGCTTTTCAACAAGTTCTTAAACGCCAATAAGTATCTAGAATAAAGAAGAAAAACGATCGTGTAGTGAATTGGAGCAAAAAGATGTTTGAGACAAGATTATTTAGACAAAAGTTTCGAGAAACAAATGCGCAATTCAAAAACACGTATTTCATACATTTATTTATCCTTCTTTTTGCTTCGCAAACATTTCTTTAAATAATGCATTTATTTAGTTTAGTTGGTTTACCTCCAAACACCGCTGGTGTCAGTTTCTTTAATTTGTTGCGTTAAATGTTCCAACATTGCTGCATTCACCGACGTATACCAAGCTAGTACATCTGTAAATGTTGTTTCTTCGGACTGATTCACTGTTTGTCTGTAAAATTTAATTGATTGGTTATTCCAACATTTTTTGCATCTGTATTGTACCTAAATGTTGTCAGATTGGTCAAAAAGGTTTCCTTATCCAAATACACCTTTCGACTACCATCAATCTGAAGATTCAACGGCGGCCAGAAACTCATATTCCCCAATGCTTCATTGGTCAGCTTGAATCTTGCCTTCAAATCGGTCCTCTCGGTCCTGCTTAACATTAACAACATTAACATGTTAACTTGCCAAATGTTGCAAGCTCCTCCCATTTGATTGGCTACAGTTACAGTAAAAAAACTAATAAACATGCTCCTGATGTAAATGTAACTTAAGTGAAATCGACAGCGCTTCTCGAGTGATGAAAGATGGGGAATCATGAATATTTTGAAAGGAATAATAGCAAGTCGTCACAAAGCACTAAATAAGTCTTTATTGAAATTGGGGACTAATAAGAAGACTTTAGGGCTTTTGAGCTTCGAGTCTTGCTTCAGCGCGTTCAACTGTCTATTGGAAAGAGAAAACGTGAAATTGAAACAATTGGAAATAGACAAAAGTATTAAATATGTCGCAAATAATGAAACTCAAAAGGGGATGATTGAGGAGAAAATATAAACTTTTTAAAGTCATACCAATCAATGTATCTCCGACAAAATAAAAATCTAATTTTGCTTGTTTGGACTTTTGAAACATTTTCTTTTAACATCGGGAACTAGACCGTCAAAATCGGCCTTAAATAGAGGAAAATGCAGGAAATTTCTTTTCCGAGATCGTACAAAATCACATAGTGTTTTTCAATGAACATTCAATGTACTATTTCTGGTCGACTCGGATGATAATCCGATTAAAATTAGCATAATTTCATTAGTCACAATAATTTCTATAGACACGTAAATAATAGAGCATGTCAACACTCGCAAATTGAACAGGAAATTGCTTCCAATCTCTAATCAAATAACTCACATCAATTTCAAATTAATGTGCTGTTTCTGGGTCTGGCGAATAAAAACTCGTTTTCTGCATAAAAGAAAAATAACTTTATTTGACCGGAGGAATTATATGGAAGATTTTGTTAAATACGTTTAGATTACACATAAATTATCATTTTCTTCACCTAAAATCCATGCTAAATTTGCGATTTAAACGAAGTGCAATGCTCAGTACGAATCGAATCCGCATAACAGTTAATTGAAAATTAAGGTCATCCCTCTAGAGAAAAACTACTTTGTCTGATTATTTATAGATCTTTACCCCAGTTGATGATAGAAAATTGGACCTATTTGCTTCTATCAATTCGGCCAATCAATGATTCACGGAAACTTAATTATCTTTATGTTCTGTGTGGGGAAAGTCGGCTACCCAAACATTAAAAAAGTTCGCCTGTTTCGGCCAATCCACCACCTACAAGATTCAAAGTTTCCCTTTTATTATTCCCCAGAAAACCGAGGTTTTTCATTAATTTTCCGGTTCTTAATTCAATTAGTTGGTTTCAATGCTACTTGACTTACTTTAGCTCTTTTCCGCCGGTGTAAAGGTAAAAGGCTACTTCAGACCTTTCGAGCTGCATTCGAGTGACGACTTTGCCCAATTCCGTCGCTGCAGTCACCTGAAACTCTTGATTTTAGCAACCGATTAAGCTTCTTAAAGTATTCTTCAAAATACTTGAGGATTTAACGTCTTAAAAATCCCGGTCTCTCCACTGTTGTTTTAGTGCCAAACTATGGAATTGTTTGGCTTTGCGCTCGTTCCAGTATTATACCACTTAATATACTTAACGAAAGTGAAAAAGTTTATTTATCTCAAATTCTATTCAAACATTAAAAGATACAGGATTCTGCGGGTATCGTGTGATTTTCGGGTTATTAAGCCGTCGTCAAAAGAAATTTGGTCCTGACGTTTTGCTAGCACGCATCGGAACCATCCTCAGCGTTATGCCGCATTAGGCAACACCATTTCGAAATTCAATGTTTGTTAAATGAAACTGCTATTTCCATTCTAGAACGTAGCCCGCATCGGTATTCTCGCTCGCACTCATATGCCTCCATGAGCGATGGACGATTGACTGTGCGTTGCCGCGTTCCAAATTGCTACCTTCACGGCTTGAAACTTTCTCGGAAATAACCGACTGCTCGAAAACAAAACTCAAACATTCTCTTGGTTATCTTATTCGTTACTTCGTAGTAACGGCGTGAAGGACACATGCGGTTATAAAATTGGAATAAATCGGGTGTTGAAGAGGAAAAAAATCCAGCAATGATATAACGCAAAAAGGCCCATAAAACTCATTCACCAGAGGCAAAACAAGCTGAAACAACGAGGTTTATGCCATAATATAAAAAAAACTAATCAAAATCTCAGTGGTTGTTGTTTGATTTATAGCCCAGTGCGCTCAAGTGGGAAAATTGGGGTGCATCCATTGAATTCACTTTGGGGCATATGAAACATCAAAAAAATATTCGCTCCAATAAAACTCCACAATGAAAATATCTGGCTCACCACGTACTCATTCTGCTTGTATTCTGTTGTTTACAATAGGTGTGTGTTTTTATTCCTTCAGTATACTTCCCCAAGAGCCATTTATTAAGTTAATTACATTCAACGAATGACTCATTAAAATATATGGACAGGATCATTATCGCTTTCCCGTTAAATATATGTGTAATTAAGGTTTCTGATGTGATCCCAGATCAATATAGGAGCTCAGTTTCGATAACGGAATTCAGTTAAAAGGGCGCTTTAATTGGAAAGTACAGCTTCACTTAGTTTCTTTTATTAAGACACTATTTTCGGTGCTATTCTTGGAGACACACTCAAAATATACCCTTAGGCGTCTGCTAATTTAAGCAATTAGTTGGCGTCCAGTGGTGGTTTATTTGTTTTCGTAGTCTACCGAAGCTTATTTATCCTTCAAATTATTTATTTGATTTATGGTTTGAATTAATGATTAATTCAAAATGAATAGAGAGAGATGAAATGAGGATATTTACAAAAAACTTTAGAATTGTTGGATAAATCGGAGTGGAGTCAATTTCATCTATCTTTAAAGTTCTTGTGCAATTTGAGAGGCTCATTCGAAGTCTGTTCAGCTTTTCAGGTCAACTTAATTACCAAATGTCCTTTAAAGGCGATTGAATGCGTGTTTCATATCCGATGGGATGCTGGTTAGTTCGGGAACTTAATTTAGGTGAAGTCACCCATCTGCTAATTCTGACAATGCTAAGAGCATACGGGCGTTACAAATTAAGGGAGACGGAAGCAAGTTAGCAAATTCAAGATTGTAACTCTAATTTTGGTGATTATTAGATACGTGACTAAAATGCAGTCAGTCCCAGAAGTAATGTCTAAATTCGTTTAAAATTCAGCGGTGTGTTTTATGGGAAGAATCTCGGACTTTTTATGCTTAAGAGTATCTTCTAGAAATAAACTCAAGCTTGCTCCAACATTTAGCATTTACAAATAACAATTGACTAGTTTGGGCTTTTTTCCAAAAAACAATCCGCTATGTTTACAACATCTTGCAAATATTTCTGGGAACTGTATTTTTTTTTATGACACATGTTCTTGTTCTTTCTACTTCTTCTTGTAATAAATGTTGCGCTCCTTACTTTATTGCAATCATTACACGTGATTTTCTCTACCTTGAAGAACTTCTGGTTAAGACTAAACCAGTTTCCCAATGGTTTAAATAAAATAATTCCCCATTTCTGCAGGAAATGGCTAAGTGATATTTAGGTACTTTTTTCTCAACAATTTCCAAGATTGCCTCCAAGGGCAAGAAAGATTCATTGGCGGGACCAACATAAATTTTAATCTTTCTCTGTTCGATAAAATTACAGAAGTAAATCTCTATTACCTTAGATAAATTAGGTCAAAGTCGTCCGATTACTTTGAACTGTTCTCGCAAAGAATTCTTCATACTTTGGACTTAATAAAATTGATCTCTGAACTTTTTTGCTTAACGCAGCACGCTGGAGATTTTATTTTTTTGACTGGTTATCTCTGAAAGTGGTGCGTTTTCGCCCGAAAATTCAAGCCATTCGTGTTTGGGAAACGCCAGGAAGAAATTATTGTGCACAATCAGATCATGTTCTCCTCATATCAAATTGTGTATCATGTGTATCATAAGAAATTGTGTATCATGTACATGTTGCTTACCTGATTTTCAACTTCTATGCTATCATTCTTCAAAATCATGATGTTCCTCAAGATTACGGACGTTTGCACAATCAATGCAAGTATTGGTATGAAAGGCAACACCAACATCTGCAGCAGATGCAATTTTCTGCCTCTTCCGTCGGCCGGATTGATCGACTTTGCACAGCAATATCCTCTGGGTACCGCTTGCGAAACGTCCTCAGAACTTACCGATCTGATCGAAGCATCCTCGCAGTCTTTTATGTGATTTGTGATTGCTTTCTGATTGTTGATAGACATAGCTGGAATTAGTCGATTAGTTTAGGTGTTTTCGAGCCGTTCAAACTCCTGAAGATTCACCAGTAAAAATGATTGAAAAATTGAACAATATATCAAGAAGAAAATACTTTTTGAATTTAGGAGTGATAAAAGTTGACTAAAACCTCGCACAAGAAACATTTAAACATAGTTCTGAAAACATATGAATCTTGTCAATATCAGACACTCTACAAAGCCGGCTTCGAGCCCATCGGCTCTCATCAATCGTGTTTAGCCTGAAAATAACACTCACAAACACGCAATTTTATTTTGCCAATGCAAAATATTTCTTCCGTATGCTTCAAAATGCAGTTGAATTTTATATTGCCTGAACCCGACAGGAAAAAATGACTTCGTGTAACCTTCCTGTCGACCGATCAAGTGTACGTGTTAATTAATAAAGACTTATTGGAAATTTGACTCCAATTATTCGATGGGACATGTTTTTAATTGAATCGCTTTGCTTTCGGCTTCAATTAAGCTTCGGGCGAAAAAGTTTATTACAAATCGGTCTTTCATTGGGAGATTGTTTAGTCCATTGCAGGAAAAGCTCGAACATTTGCATCATCTATCCAGCCAGTTTGGAAATTTACTTACCAGTTACGCCTTTAATCCCTTTTTATATCCAGCCACATAATAAGAAATACCCTTTTTTCAGAAATGTATTTAACGTAAAACGGGTTTAGGCAGTTCATAGCAAGCAAGGCATTTTCCCACATTTGACTAGTTTGCAATGCAAAGCAATGCGATGCGATGCGATTTTTCACAGATAATCCGATAAAACATTATCCGAAAATGCGGCTCACTAAACTAAATGTGTCGGTTGAAAAGTAAGAGTCGATGCTCTGCCAAAACACGCAAAATGTATTTTCGTATGCTGTTTTTTTACGGATAGTGTTCTAAGGACTTTCAACTAACAAATCCCATTGGCGATTGAATTGTGGTGTAGTTATAATCAAAGTTATTTTTAGATAAGTTACGTCGATTAAAACGAGATTTGAAAAATACATTAGAGGCAATAATAGAGCGTGCATTCTATTATTTTTATCGCCCGAATAATGCGCTTAGGGCTAATAGGTAGAACATTAAAAAAAATCCAACGCTTACCGAGCTCTGGCAATTCTAGCGTTGACTAGGTCACATCAATTATCAAAAAAACCCTATAATTTTACGTTTTGAAGTTTTCTAAGATATTTAATTCGCCAAACAACCCTCTCGAGACTGCCCTTCAATAGAGACTGAACTCACTTGTTGCGGAGTTTTGCCACATTTTTACTGGAAACTTGCGCTCCACTTTCCCTCCGCTTTTCCCTCTGATGTGTGAATAATTACTTATCGATATCTTCCGTAGAAACTCTATTACGTGCCGTTTGATGTCTAGTAATGTATAAGTTGGAAAACTATGTTTCTGCGTCAATAATGCCCAGGTTTATTTTAACTGCAATTTTAATTAAAACGCAACAATGGTAAAGATGTTCAGTTGGCCGGATTGTGAACATTTTTTTGGATCCTTAGTAAATTAATTTTTTTAGAGCGTTTCCACATATTAACGCTTTCCAAATTTTGCGGAGGAGGGCAGGAAGCAAAAAATACACAGCTGATAAAGGGGGTTTTTGGTGTTATTGCTGCGATATCACTTTTCCAAACCGAACAATAAAGTAAAATTGGGTCGATTTAAACGGAAAATTATGTAATATTTCATATGTATTTTTGTTATAAATGTTTTTTACAATGCTACAATGCTGTTATTGCAAGTTTCACCTTGTTTCAGTTTTTAGTTTTCGCATGAGCCGTCTTAGAAAAAGGCATGAATGACTCTGAATCCAGCCGTTGCTTCGTAGCCCTTTTACACTTCCGAAGCTCTAGTTTACATGTTATTTTTTAACCGGCAAATAATTAAGATTTAAACTAGGTGGATGCTCTGGTACGGATCCAAATGGGTTCGGCCCAAAGCCTCCTAGAGGGCCAGGCGGTCCGGGAGGTCCTGGTGGTCCGAACGGTCCTGGAGGTCCTGGAGGTCCTGGAGGTCCTGGAGGTCCTGGAGGCTGCAGAAAACCTTCTGGTCCCCCTGGGCCTCCTGGTCCCCCTGGGCCTCCTGGTCCACCCGGGCCTCCAGGTCCTCCAGGTCCTCCAGGCCCTCCAGGTCCAAGACCTCCTCCTCCCCCAGTGCCTCCTACGCCTCCGTTTCCACCCACTCCTCCTAAAATCATGGCAAAATTAACTTTTTTATTTTCTTTAATACACTATTTACCTTGAGGTCCGATAATATGCTCGTATGGATTAGGAACATGAACGTACCGTCCAGAGTCATCCGGTTGGTAACCTCCGGCGCCGTCCGGCCGATATTGGCCTAAAATGAATATTATTTGAATGTTGATAGAATTTAAAAAATTGGTCAAACTAATGAAAGCTTAAACTTATGAAATCCCACACATTAGAAATGCGTCTAAACTCAGTTCGGTTGCACCGATTTTATTTGATTTTAAATCAGTTTGCAACATTTCATGTATAAATCAATTATGTGGGTTTGTCTCAATCTTCCACAAAAATGAATCACTGCCACATTAGATTGTTAAATTTCCAAATTCCTCGCATTACGGTATCGTTCGTAAAGTTCAAGGCGATGATATATTAATAAAATGTAATAATTTAAATAAATATTTATAATCATCCTTGACAATCTGCTAACCTGAATGGTTCCTCTATTAAAAAGATCTTCTGTTCAAGCTTGGTGAGAATCACACACATTTTTGTAAAAAAATTCTTCAGATTCCCACTGTTCGCAAATGACAAGGTGCTGTTTCTAATGAAACAATGATTTTACAAAAACATTATCAATATAGATAAAATTTAAAAAAATATATTATTTTATGGACGTTTGCTGATGGTTTAGGGTAAAACCAACTAATGCATTTTCAGTGGAATTGTCCCTTTCCATCCAATATTACAAAGCATCGAAAATTGACAAAATAAACAAGAGCACAATAAAAACACAGTCGTCATTAATCTTGATCAATGTTGCACCTCATTAGAATTAAATTTTTCACAAATATAATTTTTTCTGGGCATTTCAACCAACAAAAATGACAAGCAAAAAATGTAAATAATCGCGCGAAAAAATTGCCAAGTTCAACAATTAATCACAAATGTCTCAATGGATGCAATAGATCCAAATTGACAGCGCAAATGAACTGAAAGTTTCCTTATTCAGTGCTAATATTTTCAAATCGATGGCTGATGTAGTTGCTCAGAAATGCGTCTCAGAAGAGCATACGTCAGAAATAAGAAACGCGCAAAATTTTTCTACAGTTTAAGAATTCATTCTGAACAAAGCATTTGCTCAAATAGCACCAAATTCACACATAAAGTAAACAGAAGCTTGTACTACTGATTTCTGATACCCAGGTTCCAAAATCCGGCGCAGTTGCTCAGATAAAAACATCGGAAGAGCAGAGCGCAAATTTAAAAATCGCGCAAAAACTATCCAAAGTTCAGCAATGAATTATGAAGAAACCAGTTAGTCGACTGCAGTATTCTAAATATGCTTCTGAAAAGCGTATTTTGGACTTACGTTGGTGTTATTGCTCAGAAACCGGCTTCAGAAATGCACGTTGCAAAAGTGAAAAACCGCATGAAACTGTGCTTTATCGAATTATGAAATAAATACTTTTCAGAATAAAACCAGATTCACACCACAAGAACACCGAAAATGAATTAAATTCGCACCCCAAATGCCCTGTTTTCATAGACTTTCATAACCAACATTCCAACCAACATAATTAATAAGTTAATGATAATTTTAGATTATACTACTCACCACTGTTATCATTATAGTAGCTGCCGCTGTTGTCTACGCGATACGAGCCTACAAGCAAAGATAACTCGTGTAAAGCCTTAAGCCTTAATATACAAAAAAATATAAAAATTACTGTACTTATTTGAAATGAAGTTTAAGCTTGGAACTTCACTCACCGCTGCTATCAGGATGGTAACGCCCATCATCATCTCTTCGTGGTCTAATTAACGATTTTGCGTTTGCTAATGCTGTGAGTGCAACTAATATTGCCTGAAAAGTTCAGTCAATTAAAAATTCACTTATTGCAGGCAAAAAATCGCTTTTGTGTTGATGTTTAATACATTTTTCAGTTGTTCAAAAGTAAACTAAAAAATAAGCTCCACTTTCAACTACTTGAAGCAAGTAAATTATTAAAGCTCATTAAATTTTGGCAGAAAAAAAATTTCAACATACCAAACTGAAGAAATCCATAACGATGGTCCACAACAAACACCCAACTAGCGGTCGAATTCTCAAAATCCGCATTTATATGTAGATCCAAATTATTAATTCCAACTACCACTCTCAAGTTTTGGCGCGTTTCAGCTTATTTTCCCCGATAAATTCCAGCCTCAATAAAAGCCGGGAAAATTGCCATTTGCTTGCGGAAATCTCAATTTTCATGAGCATGAAAACGGCCTGAATCAATATGATTATTAAAATCTGGCTACTGATATTTTACATTCGTATTTGAACATGAAATTGCACTGGGCTTGACAAACACACAAAGAACCCGAAATTAATATTATGAAAAAACTGAATTAATAAAACGGTTTTATTAAAAGAGGCCTAAGGTTTCGCAAAATGCCCATTTTCAATAGCGTTAGCCAATACGAGATGCTCAGAGCTTGGTATTGCAAAAACTATTTTCGAACATCAATATTGTCAATATGAAAGTTATTTCGCGATCCTTACAGTGGGTTTTAATCGAACTTTTATTGCATTTAGCGTTTTATTTAAATATTCAGCTTTTCAAAAGTTGAAGAAGATATTGATTTCTGCTTCAATATGATCAGATTGTGATCTAAAAAATGTTATTGCTACTTTCCAGATAACATATTGAGCGAGTCATCGAGCAGGCTAATTATGCAAAGCACAAAAAGTGCGACTGGACTTTTTCATTAAAAAATTTATTCATACTTGACTGCATTTCAGGTGTGCAGGAAATTGATTCATTTCCACGGAATATTTCGCAAAAAATCAAACTCGCGTATGTTTTAACAACGGTTTATTTATAGGTAACACATGTGTAAGTCAGTTAAAATTATCACAGCTTAGTTCTTCTGTCGCAGCCCGAATCACGGCAATTTGGGGTGTAAGTCCTCACATTTGATATAAGGGCTGACGCAGGAAGCCAATCCGATCAAGTAAGGAATGACGTTTTCCTCCATCACTCCAGAAAACAGGTGAGACCACGGGCCATTAGCAAATATGGCTACATCGTCCGCGCCATGAGTTTCCTTCTTCTTGGGAACAGTCGACGGCCACTGGAACTCCAGATTATCTAAAGAATCCCAGCTTAAAATTGGATTTTTTTCTGGCGGAACAGTCTTACTCATTTCTTCTAGAGAAGGCACATATCTTTGGCCAGTGGCCATAAAGGGCTTGTAACCAGGCCCATTGGCGTAGTTGAGGATGGTATAAGGGTCTTCATCGCTTGCGGTACCAGCGTATCCAAAAACGTCGCTCCCTCTGGCTGCATATCCAGCATAGCTCATTGTATGTGCATGATCTGCAATAAAACCATCGTTATCTACTAATCGGTTCTTTCAATTTTTCTTCGCCTACCAGACGTAACAACTATAAGAGTATCTTGCTGGTTTGTCAAAGAGAGAGCCTTCTGGACAGCCTTGGAAAATTCGGCGGTTTCATCCAGCGCCTTGCGCGCCCAACTCAAATGATGGGCCGTATCGATTCTACCCCCTAAACGAAAGATTTGTTAAGCAAAAGTTCATTTTTGAGCAGTTAGGATGAACCTTCGACAAGTAAGAAATAGCCGGAAGAGCCAGGTTTGTCCAGAACGCGAAGAGCTGCTTCAGTCATTTCTTCTAACGATGGCTGAGTTTGGGGGTCTCGTTCCAGATTGTAGTTCAAGTGATCAGGCTGGAAAAGTCCTGCAATGAGAAACAAAAACAAGGGTGTTAAACTTCTGCAATTGAAACTGTTCCTTCAGAATTCCAGAGATTTTTCAGAAGACATCCATGTTACTACCTGATGGACCTTCCGAAAATACTGCGGTCTGAAGGTTGTTTTTGATCGATATCAACTGAACCACCTTGTTTGGATCGCGAACATTTATGCAAGCCATAAAATATAGAATGCAAACTATTCAAATTTATTCAAAATCGCTTAATAGTGCGCATTTTTGGCAGGTATTTAATAAATATCGGAGAATGGTATCATATTTACGTAACACAAACAGCAGGGAACTGGGCTTCGAGTAACATATTTAAATATTTATTTGCAAGAGATGCAAGGAAATGTCGGATGGTTGGGAGAAGAAATGGGAACGAAGCAAACACATCAGAAGCTGCTAGCATTAATTAGATAACGAAATTTGAACAACAGAAAAGTAAAATTGAAATAGGGTTTCAGCGGTCATTGCTTGAAACTGCGAAGTTTTTCGAGCTTGGAAAACTAGTTCTTAATAACGTTTCAGCGGACTGCAGCTTTCGGGCGAAGACCTCTGAGGATGTAAGCGACTCATGCGTGCGAAACGTTCGAAATAAATTATTTTCCAGGCCGGCCGAAAACCCCCAAAAACTTACAATTTACAGATCCATTTAATTTGTGCTACTGATTAATGTTCTGGTTCTTATTGAATACTCCATTGCTTTTCTTTCTCCAGTTCTGAAACAGTTTTTCTCAAAATCTGACCAATTTATTCAAACAGTTTCCTTAGGGAACAATGAAAGGCTTTGCCATCAGCAGAGCCGTCAAGACCTCTTGAAATAGACCTCAGGCACCCCCAGAACCGGTTTCGAGCCGGTCCTGGGGGTGCCTGAGGTGAGCGCGTTTCAAAATCTGCACTTGTTTAGTTCAGTTTCCTTAGGGGTTTTGTGAGATTTGGATGCATCGAAGCGCCTTTACTTTTCCTCATTTTCAGATTTTTACAGGCTTACACCAACCGAGGATCGGCAGCGATTGGAAGTTGACTCGACCAGACTTGAAGACACAAAAGGTTTTGGAGGGTGCAACCCTTTCGCTTACCCAACAAATATTCAGTGTTTTCCTTCACGTTGAAAAGTCGTTCTCTGTTCCAAACGTATTCGTACAATTGGCCTTGGCTTTCGCGGTATCTCTTCCACTCCTCTATCAGGTTTACTCCGTCAGATCGATCGCCACTGTTCCCGTCTTCATCTTGCACTTCTCTGGGAAGAAAGTTCTTGCGTCCTCCACCTAAATCGATTAAAAGAGCATCTTGAGTATGAAGTCCTGTAACTGCTTAGTGTAGCAGATATTTGCAGAAAAATGTAAATTAACGAGACAAATATGAAAATCTGAGCAATGAAAAATGAACAGCATATACGCACCTAAAATAACATTCAAGTTTCGTCCAGTGCTTCCGAAGATAAGCTGATGAGCAATGTCTTCACATTGGGTGATGTCGCCGTTGAAATTCATAACATCAGTGTCGGATTCCCAATCACGCTCAGAAGTGTGTGCATAAATTCCTACGGAAAGTAAACGTTTTTCTTGCAATTTTCTTCAAAAAAACCGCTTAAAATTAATTTAAATACCTGCGGGCGTTGCATGTGTAACTCTCGTTGTCGTCACTACTCCAGTTCGCTTTCCTTTCAACTGAAACAGTCTGGCAATCGAGTCCACTTGGTTTTCCTTCATATTCATAGCTGAGCAATTTTTTTGCTTAACTGCAGCCGTTACCCCTATTGTTCCCAAGTTCGCTTTAACGCCTCCCAAATACGCTGTAGCTGAGCAAGCTGAGTCAGCCGTCTGATGATCTACACAGTAAGTCTGAAACATTATCAGAGGGTTTTAGTTGCTGAAGTAACTCATTTTCTTTATTGGACATTGCAAATATTAGTCAATAATTTTCGAAATTTCATCACCAACTAGACGACAGATTAATTGACCATTAACTACTGGCATATCAAGGATTAAAATAAATAATTCAAAGTACATTGTTCATTGCATACGAACCAAACAATTGTAGATTTCGTTGCCTTTGGCCTCACCTTAGATAATCCGGTGTATGGAAATTGTTCAAACGACAAAGACTTCTCTTCTCCTCCCAAATACACTCTGGTGGCAGCTATAGTTGGGATGGACATTCCGTCTCCCAGGAAAAGAATTACATTTTTGGCTGTATCTAAAGGAAATATACGCACGCTAATAAAACTTCCCACTTTTTGAAGAGAATAATGTGGAAAATTGGCGCAAAGCTGCGATTTCCGAAACAGTTTTGGAACCAAAAAGACGTTTTGACAATTTTAATTTGAGGAATTGAACGAATGTAGCACATTGTCACTAAAGCCGCTATGAAGAAAGCGAAAATCAATCGCTCTTACTAAAGTTCATGTGATGGCCCAGTCGTTCTGCGATAGCATTTAACGCAACATCCTTCCAGTACTCCTTTGTTTCTTCAGCTTTCAGTTCTTCGGGACTTTTCATCCTCATCAACTTGTTCGCGTACGGCTGCACATCGATGTCTTGAGCTGGAAAAATCCCCATAAAATACAACTAAATTCCAAAATCCCATTTTGTTTTATTTGCTGTAAAATTAAATTTCTCTTACCCTGATAGTCACGTTTCTTAGTCGTTGAAGGTTTAGCCACAGAGACACATATCAAAACACAACCAAAAATAAAAGCGTTAAACAAATACATCTTTTTTTCAAAGAAGTTTGCGATCACTGGACAGGATTTCTCGCATTTAAAAGTACACGAACAATTAGATTAATACCGGTGGAACGGTAAATGATATAAATATCTGCACATAAATTGGCATTTCTCCCTCTTAGGTGCATAATTTTAAGGTCAGAGTATCAAGCCGAGTGCTCTTGTCAATCAATTAAAAAACCTCATTAATTCACAGTTTTGCATTCAACGCTTCTTAATTTTCATTGTTATCCTTGGAAATCCTGTTAAACGTTTTTGTGAAATTCCCTGTCCGCACGCGGTTTATCGTCGCCTCGTAACAAAAAATCTCTAAATGCACTTGATAATTATTCGTTTTACGGACAATATCGTATTATCGAATTGAAAAGTTTCACGCTAAAGCTCTGAAACACACGTTAAATAAATGCTAAACCTTAAAAAAAAAGTGAAATGTTTTGCAAGCCCATTTTTCAGCTGATGAATGGCGATTTTTTTAATCCTTGTAAATTGAGATGAGTTTAGATAAAATCTACTATCTTCTACATATTTTATGGTTACCAAATTCTACTAGATTACAAACTATTTGGAAATAGCTGCTTGATTTATTCCGTTATATGCCAGACCAGAAAAAAAATTTGATTAGTCTAAGTTTAGCGCAAATTGAACTAGTAATTGCTTCCAAGTCAGTGAAAACAGGAAACGCACATTATAACGTTTTAATATTCTGAAACTGTATCCAAATCATTCAAAAACAAGGAAATGGAAGGCTTAACTTAATCATTAAATAATTTCAAGTGAACCGGTTGGTTTCCTAACTCCATTTGTAGTTTTATAGAACTTTTAACATACCCTTTAAAAAATAATCGAAAAATGTATTTTCCTCAATCGCAAACATCCAATGTCGAGAGCCAGTTCAAATTTAAATTATTTTTTAAAGCGTTTGTCTAAACTCTGCTCTCTAAAGTTTCAAATTTTAGATAGATGGTATCAGGAAATTTTAAGTTTTATTAATAATAAAAAGTACTTTTTTCTGCTTCTTGATTCAGTTCGACAGGAAAATTTTCCTTTAGAAGACCAGAAGTTTTCCAGTTCCTTTACAGAAGTTTTGCCATTGTCTTTCATATTTTAGCAACAATATTTCAAGCTTATTTTGCTCAATTAATCAAAACGCGTATGAACAATTGTCTATTTGTCTAATTGTTACTCTCTTATTGTCTATTACTGTATTAAGTATTTATGAATCTATTGAAAGAAAACTTAATCAACAGTACAATTTTCTAGCAATAAAAGATGCAAAGAGTTGGTTTATTTTCTTCCAATCCTTCCAAGTTCACACTCTTCTGCTACTTTAATAGGCAACAAACATTTCTCTCCTTTAGCATTTTTTCACTTTATTAGGCTTCATAGTGTACGGAATAAAAACATGACACTTACAAAACCTGGATATGTTCGAAACATTGAGAATACAAGTTTGCACCGCTCAATCTGAAAAATCTGCTTTAATTTTCAATTTCATATTCTCTTTTATAGTAATTTGCTTGTTTAAGGCTTTTTTCGTATTCCCAAGTTCCCACATCTGGAACATACTAGAAAAAAAGTGCAATTATTGTAAAAATACAGATATTGTATTTTTTGTATACTAAACAAGAACTTCTGCTAAAGCAGGAATAAAAACCGATATTTAAAAGCGAAATTAGCATACAACATGTCATATAAACTTGGTCAAAAGCAAAAGATCTACCAAGAAAAATAAATTGAGCTGTAAGCAATTCAGAAAATTTACTGTTTCGCCTATATATAGCAAGCTTAAGAAACGAAAATGATTACAATTTCCTTACACGTCTAATGGTTTACTTTAATAGTTGAACAATAAGATAAATCAGCATTTAAATGGCAAGATTGAAAAAATATGAGTATTTTATTTCTCCAATTTGTTAAAGCCTATTAGTGAATGTATGTTTATATATTATAATTATCTTAATCAACCTATCACATATACGTTTTAATAAGAAAATTTACAACTAAAACCCTTTGTCGCGAATTCAATAGCAATCGTTACATTTAACATCAGTCCTAAAAATACATTATTTCCTACAGATTACATTGAACATTTATTCTCAAACTATTCTACTTTTGCCGTGGTTTTGGTAAACTCAAATTTTCAATTGATTTGTATGATGGGGGAAGCGCAATTTTGAAACCTGCAAATTTTTGCAAAACAAAATTTCAAATCGTATTGTAATTATAATTTTGATATCTTTTACCTTGATTATTGTTCAATAGCAAAGTGAAATTATGCCCCATCATTTTCAGATCTGAATAACAATTTAAAAATAATAAATCAAAAATGTATAAATGTTTGTCTTATTTTTTCGCTTAGATGCAGAATGGAAAATGGAGCCAAACTCGTCAGGTTTGCGCCAGCTTCAAATAAATATACATAAAACGATTTGGAAACGACGAAAATAAAAATCCAATAATTAGCTGCATAATTGCAATAAAGTTGTACAACAAGGATGGTTGTACACTTACCTTACCTTATGATTATAAAAATGTATAATAAAGACTAGAATTTAGTAGGAAGACTTAACAACTTTACAGAGTGATAGGAGGAAAAAGCAAACGGGTGGCAAATAATCCTGCAACCAAACACCAAATCAAGTTAAAGTTAAAGCTAGAATTCGTATGGATATAAATGTGTATAGTAATCCTTCTGGTAGAGCCGTGCATTAAGTCAGTAGCAGTCAAAAATCTAGTTGAAATTGGACCATTTTTCAAGCAGTCTGCGTTACTAGTTTTTGGAAGTGAGAATTCCCACAAACTCTGAAAGCAAACGAATATTTTCGCAAATCATTCAGTTTAGAAAAAAGTGAAAAAAATGGTTTAAGCAAAATTAAATTACCTTCATAGTTCACTTGGCCATCTCCATCTAAGTCTGCTTCTTTAATCATGTCATCAACTTCTTCTTCGGACAATCGCTCGCCTAAACTGGTCATAACATGGCGCAACTCTATACTCGATATCAAGCCGTCGTTATTTTTATCAAACACCCTGAAAAACCCCAAACAGTCTTAACTACTGATTAGTTAATGGGAAAATAGACATTTTATATGCACCGCTTTGTAAGTGGTTTTACGGAAATACATAAACATGCTGCTGTATTGAGATCCCGCTTTGTTTTCATCGAATTTGCTTCAATTTAATTAAATCGAATGCTCCCAAGTGAATAAAGTTCGAGCACGCAAACCTAAATCCCGTTTCCTAAATATCGCAATTTTGCTTCAGGAAACTACAGCCTGATATAAAAATAACAAACATTTTATGTCCCTAAACTTTAAAAATTGTTGCCTATGTACTAGAAAGGCGACGCTGGGATGAAGCCAAGTGCTTGACAATTTATACTAATGGCTTTACGCGTATATGTAATACGTTTATTCTGCAAATATGGAATATTTTCAGTTTGTGCCCAATTTTTAAAGGACATTCTTTGGAACTTTCTAAGAATACTTTCTTCGATTCTAAGTAGAAATAAAGAAAAATGTAATTTAAACTATCGAAGATAAATTGGTGAATCTCTGTCGATGTTTTCGTTAATTACCTAAACGCCTCCTTAAGTTCCTCCTCACCATCAGCGTCTTTCATTTTCTTGGACATCATCTGCAGAAATTCGTTAAATTCTATGGTGCCATTTCCATCCTGGTCCACCTCGTTCACCATATCTCTCAGCTCCGTCTCTGAAAAATTATATCGACTTTTAACACCCGCTTATTGTTCTATAAAATAAAAACAAATTTTTTTCATTTTCGAAACACATAAACTTGTGCGGTCGCTTCTTGAAACTGGTGATTCTTTCGCGTTTTTAGGACGTCGGGAATCAAAATTTATCTCCGGTTTGCATCTTCAGAAGTGGTTCGCTTGGTGCAGCTACTTAAAAACTCGAAAAAATCGCCACTTTCAAGAACACAAATCTTATTGATATCAACAGTTTTTTACTTGCAATTAATTGCAGACAATCTCAGTATGAAATTGATTGTTTGGTACGGGTCACTAATAAGGGTCACATTGAATTGGTTTCTTTAAAGAATTAACGTAAAAATGATTCTATGGACTTGCGGACCGCATCACTAAGCATGGCATTGGTTTCTGAGTCTGCTTGATTAGATATGAACAGAAAAAGCAGCTTGACAACACGGATAATTGAACAAAATCGTATAACAAAACAAATAATAATTTAGCTTTTCCAAATAGCTTGATGTTTCGCAAGCAGTAGCGGCTGGCATCTTCAGAGGAATTTTGCTGGAAAGCCAAGCAATGTAGTCCGGAAACTGATGAGTTTTTCAGCTTTTCAGCCATTATGGAATGGAATTTCCAAGGTGGTTTGCAAATCAACTCTGAAAATGTAAGTCACTCGTTCTTGCGAAACATCAGGTGAAAAGAAGACGTTAAACAATGTTTCTTGTTTTGGAAATTATCTAATGATTAATCAATATTGACTAGAATTTTCCTACTTCGACGCTCTAGTAGAATATTGTTAGTCCAAGAGCAATTTACCAGTACTTTGCAAAAAACTTGTTTTTAAATAAAAATCAAATTTTTACCTGTTGGTCTCTGACCTAGAGACCGCATAACCACTCCTAATTCGGCCATAGTGATCATTCCATCTTCATCTTTGTCGAAGAGCATAAAGGCCTCTTTGAATTCGGCGACTTGATCTTCCGAAAGTCCATATTCAGTCTGCATTAAAAAAATGCCTGATTCATTGATCTAGTGAAACTTTGCAATAATTCGTTAAGTTGAACTCGTTGAAAAAACCATCAGCAAAAATGTAATTAATTAAAAACTTGAATATACAGAGTCGTGTAAATCCGAATGGAATAAACAGAATTTTTTTATTGATACAGGTTTTCAACATATTGCAGGATAATGCAAGTATTTCAAAACTCTGCCAATGTGCCAAACCAATATGTTTTTCTCTTTTTTTTTCACTGATTCCGTCCATTTAGCCAGCTAAACAATTTGGAAATTTTACTGGTTTATCACCTTGACCAGGGTAATTTGTATATGATGTGTATTTCGTCGCCAATATGTAAATTGCGGCTCTAAAAATAATTTATTCTTATTGGCAACCCGTGCGATGGAAAACGGTTAAAGCGGAAATCAAGCAAGTTGATAAACATTTAAATACAAATTTCACACTAGCAGACTTGCACCCCCAAGCAAACTTACGCTAGTTTGTTGAATCTCAAGTTCACTGGTCAGCCGTTTTAGCCTCGAGTATTCTTTGTCATATCGATGGCTATTATTTGTCATTTTAATCACACGATATTGAATATGGCAACAAGAAAACGGGCACCGAGCCTGAAATACAAAGTCTATTAATAATTTTTTGGAAAAGCCGGCGGGCAAACGACAACTTTTGCCACTTGAGAACCGAGCTCTGCAAATAATGAGCTGATAGAGTTGCACCAGCTACTAACAATACGGTTTGGAGATTTTTTCATACAACTAAATGGAAATTTAATGTAAATAATCCCGACGTTTTGCAGCCAGTTTAAATTTAATACTCTGCTTGTTGTGACATTGGATGGACGGCAAATGTCGGTACGCAGTTATCTAAAGATAGAATTGCCGCATTTAACCGACTCTTTAATCATCCTTTTGAACCAAATTTTTGTCAAATTTTTCTTAAAAAGCTTCAATAGTCCCAACTGGAATTTTGAACTTCGAACTGAATTTTTGACCTGGTGTTTGAAATCGGTCCAAGAGGAAAAACGTTATTCCTGCTGGACCAAAAACCATTTAAAACCCGCTCCGAAGAAAAATGTAAAAACGTTTTGAAGCATGATCATTTTCATGGCTTTAGTTTTCAATTACGGGAAAACGTCCAGCGAAATTATGTAAATCCCAGAAAATCCAGTTAGGAGAACCTGTTGTGTTACTTTTACTTATTGTTTATTTATCTGGAATTATTGGCAGCAGATGGCGAATACCGCAACAGTTTATTTTTCTAATTTTTTATTTTTCTCATTTTATTCGCTGCCAATTTCAGTGTCTGGTCTATTGCTACGGTCCCATTTGAAGATCTAACTTTTTATTTCAGACCCACAACCAATAATTT